TGAACCCTTAATATATATACCATGTCAACTTTGAACCCTTAGTATTAACCCATTAAAGAGGTTCCAATACATTAACTAAGGTTCTATTAGTCATATTATTACTAAGGTTCATGACTAGGTTCATTATGTACAGCTGATGAGTCATATTTGTTTGGGTGAGGAGAAGTAACATTATCAAGGTCATTGTTGTTATGTTTATGGGCAGAGAAATAATGGGTTTAATATTACTTTAAAACAATGATGATAATAATAATGGTGTTGTTTTTGTTAATAATAATAATAATAATAATAATAATAATAATAATAATAATAATATTAATAATAATAATCCGTAAAGGTAAGTCAACAACAAAAACATTACATTAACCACAAATGGCGTTACTTAACACCTTTCCTAAGTGTGTGTGATGGGTAAATACACCTAATTGACTTTTTATATGACTTTTAAAATATATTTCACCTGTTGCAAATTACCGACAGCTAATTAGCCTTAGAGTTAATGACAGTGATCACTAGACACGCACCAACACCGCCAGTAATTGTCGCGATTGAGTAGTTAATAATTATGGCATCATAAGACGGGGTGCAGTAATCACAGGTAACACTCTCTCTCTCTCTCTCTCTCTCTCTCTCTCTCTCTCTCTCTCTCTCTGATGGTGTTTGTGTTTGACTGTGGGAGTAGTGAGAATGACAGACAGACAGACAGAGAGAGAGAGAGAGAGAGAGAGTAAAGATGTGGGTCAAAGTATGGGGGTGTGAGGATGGGTGTTTGTGTGAGAGGTTAAGGTGTGAGGGAGGGAGGAAGGGTGTTCTGCTTGGTGTGCTGAGGTAGCGTGATAGCAGGGTGTCGTGGCTTCCAGCAGTAAGCAGCCCTGTGTCCTCTTGCATTATACATCACCTCACTACCTGCTTGTTGAGGCACCTCCAGAGACCTACACCTTGACTTATTATTACAGGTCCGTTCATAACTTATTCCTCCACCAGGTGTACAGCGTCGTGTGTGTGTGTGTGTGCGTGTGAGTGTGTGCGTGTGTGTTGCGGTAGTAATAGATCATTATGGTGGTGGTACTAGACGGGCTGTCTTCACTACACTGCGGCATTTCCGGGCTTGCCTTCTGGTCTGTCTGTCTGGTGTGATTGATCTGGTTGGATGGTTCATTACCTGACTGTGTATCTGTCTGGCTAACTTTGGTGTAAGAGACCACGTCCTTGGCAGCACCTAAGGGCCCTGATTAGATTGTTTAGCGACGTCCCCCTTTTCTCTCTCTCTGAACGCTTGTCATCGCCTGTCTTTTACGGGATCTTCTCTTCTCTTATCTAATCTTTTCTTTTTTATTTCATTCGAGTTCTTTCTTTCTCGTCTTATTCTCAAATCTTCTGCATCTCCCGTGTCTTCACTTTCTCCTTAACATCATCTGCCTCTTTCCCTCAGCTTTGCCTCCTCCCCTGCTAGTCTTCTATGTTCGTCTCTACTCACCCCAGGCAGTGGTGAGGGCGTGGGGAGTGAGAGGAGAAGTGAGCGAAAGACACGGAGAATGTGTGAGAAAAAAAGCAAGAGAGAGAGAGAGAGAGAGAGAGAGAGAGAGAGAGAGACCAACAGGTTGAAAAGTGGATTAATAATACCCTGCCGTGCACAACATGTTTACTCTGAGACTGTCGGGTTGTATTTGTGTATGACTGGGAGTGACTCAGGACCGTCCTCCTCCTCCTCCTCCTCCTCCAAGTCACATCCAATACATGTTCTTGTTTATATCAACTCAAAACAGGTGTGTAAATTGTGGACAGCTAATGAGAGAATTACCTGTTTTATGTTGCACGGTGTCTGCATGCGAGGGAGCGTGCGGGAGAAAGATCAGACTGTTGCCTGGATGTAATTACGATGGAAATAAATATATTGCGAAAAATAATGCCCACGCGTCAGTCATTAGTGCCGGGTGGTGGTGAGGGAACAGCTTTCTGGGCTCCGGGGCCTAGAGGAGGTTTCTGCCTGCGTTGGGTTGATTAATAGGTTATGATGAGCTGATTCTAATCTCTTGTTTCTAAACCTCGTGGGTCAGGTTCACCTCCCTGTCACTGGTGATCTGTCGGGAGGTGAAGGAGAGAGACGTGGAAATGCAGTTTTGTGGCCTAAATTTCAACGCTTTTCAAAGTTATTTTTGTTCCTCTAAGAATGCAAAATAGACAACACATATAACATTCATTTCAGCTAAGACACAATTACGTCGACCTTCCGCTGAGACTCTACTTTAAAATACTTATGCTTTCTAAACCTCTTAGGTTATTTTTGCTTTATTTATTCATCAACAAATAAGGATACACAAACACGTGTCCCCGGTCTGTTCAAGCTACGACACAAGAAGTGACTCCCAACAATTACGTCGATATTAAGATAAGCTGGACCTTAAGTTAATGTCTTTATCTGCCTTCAACTGGTAGAGGGAGGGAGGTAGGCGGGGTGTGGGTGAAGTGTGAGGTGTGAGGAGACAGGGAGGGAGGCGGGTGTGGGTGGTGAGGGAGACAGGGAGGAGGCGGGGTGTGAGTGAAGTGTGAGGGGTGAGGAGACAGGGAGGAGGCGGGGTGTGGGTGAAGTGTGAGGTGTGAGGAGACAGGGAGGGAGGCGGGGTGTGGGTCAAGTGTGAGGGTGTGAGGGAGACAGCAGGGGGAGGCAGGGGTGTGGGTCAAGTGTGAGCGATGAGAAACAGGGAGGGAGGCGGGGTGTGGGCGAAGTGTGGGGGAGACAGGAGGGGAGGTGTGGGTGAAGTGTGAGGGTGGGGGAGACAGGGAGGGAGGGCGGGGTGTGGGTGAAGTGTGGAAGAGACAGGGAGGAGGCAGGGTGTGGGTGAAGTGTGAGGGGTGGGGAGTCAGGGACGTCGGGTGTGGGTCAAGTGTGGGGTGAGGTCAGGGAGGAGGCGGGTGTGGGTGAAGTGTAAGGGGTGAGGAGACAGGGAGGGAGTCGGGTGTGGGTGAAGTGTGAGGGTGAGGAGACAGGGGGTAGGCAGGGTGTACATTGTTGAGTGGTCACGAAGTTGACAGTGAGGACAGAGAGGTGAGAAGGAGTCATGTGTTGACGGCAGTGGTGTAGTGCCATTGTGACATTTTGTTTGTGGTGGTGTGTGTGGCTGTGTGGTGTGTGTGTGGCAGTGTGGTGGTGTGTGTGGTAGTGTGGTGGTGGTGTGTGTGGCTGTGTGGTGGTGTGTGTGTGGCAGTGTGGTGTTGTGTGGAGCAGTGTGATGTGTGTGGCAGTGTGGTGTTGTGTGGAGCAGTGTGATGTGTGTGGCTGTGTTGTGGTGTGTGTGTGGTGTGGTGGTGTGTGTGTTGGTGTGGTGGTGGTGTGTGGCTGTGTGTGGTGGTGTGTGTGAGTGTGGTGTTGTGTGTGGAGCAGTGTGATGTGTGTGTGGTGTGGTGTTGTGTGGAGCAGTGTGTGTGTGGCTGTGTTGTGGTGTGTGTGGCAGTGTGGTGGTGTGTGTGGTAGTGTGGTGGTGGTGTGTGTGGCTGTGTGGTGGTGTGTGGCAGTGTGGTGTTGTGTGTGGAGCAGTGTGATGTGTGTGTGGCTGTGTTGTGGTGTGTGTGGTGTGGTGTGGTGTGTGTGTGGTGGTGTGGTGGTGGTGTGTGTGTGGCTGTGTGGTGGTGTGTGGTGTGGTGTTGTGTGTGGGCAGTGTGATGTGTGTGTGGCTGTGTGGTGGTGTGTGTGGCGGTGTGGTGTGTGTGTGTGTGGCAATGTGGTGGTGTGTGTGGCGTGTGGTGTTGTGTGTGGGCAGTGTGTGTGTGTGGCTGTGTTGTGGTGTGTGTGTGTGTGTGGTGTGTGTGTGTGTGTGTGTGGTGGTGTGTGTGGCAGTGTGGTGTTGTGTGGGGCGGTGGGGTGGGTGTGTGTGTGTGGGCAGTGTGGTGGTGTGTGGCAGTGTGGTGTGTGTGTGTGTGTGTGTGTGTGTGTGTGTGTGTGTGTGTGTGTGTGTGTGTGGCGGTGTGGTGTGTGTGTGGCGGTGTGGTGTGTGTGTGTGGCAGTGTGGTGGTGTGTGTGTGGTGTGGTGTTGTGTGTGGCGGTGTGGTGGTTGTGTGTGTGGGCAGTGTGGTGTTGTGTGTGTGTGTGTGTGTGTGTGTGTGTGTGTGTGGTGTGTGTGTGTGTGTGGTGTGTGTGTGTGGTGGTGGCAGTGTGGTGTGTGTGTGTGTGTGTGGTGGTGTGTGGTGTGGCAGTGTGGTGGTTTGTGGCAGTGTGGTGGTGTGGGGCAGTGGTGGTGTGTGGCAGTGTGGTGGTGGTGGTGTGTGGCAGTGTGGTGGTGGTGGTGTGTGGCAGTGTGGTGGTGTGTGTGGTGGTGTGTGTGTGTGGCAGTGTGTGGTGTGTGTGTGTGTGTGGCAGTGTGGTGGTGGTGGTGGTGTGTGTGTGTGTGTGTGTGTGTGTGTGTGTGTGTGTGTGTGTGTGTGTGTGTGTGTGTGTGTGTGTGTGTGTGTGTGTGTGTGTGTGTGTGTGTGTGTGTGTGTGTGTGTGTGTTAACAGACAGGAACGTTATTTTTGTGTGGTATTGGGGACGGGACTGTGGTGGTGTGTAGCAACGAAGGTGTTTGTTGCAGTGTAGTGGTTTTGTGTGTGTGTGTGTGTGTGCGTTGTCGCTAGTGGCATGGTGGTGGGCGTGGCGAGGTGGGGGGGTTGCAGGCATTGAACCCCTTCCCCTCCTGCACGTTCAATCAAGTGCGCCACCCGGTTGTCGCCACTCGCATGGTGTAGTAGGGCGTTCAACTGTACGTTCACGTGTTCACTATGTGGTGGGGTGGATAAAGAGGCATTGGGGCGGATGGAAGAACTGCCGGATGGGTTGAGGTGTTGCTTGATGAGTTGAAGGGCCGCCGGATGGGTTGAAGGGCCGCCGGATGGATTGAAGGGCTACCTGATGAGTTGAAGAACTGCCGAACGGATTGAAGAACTGCCGGATGGGATAAAAGGCTGCCTGATGAATTGAACAATTGCTGGATGGGTTGATGGGCTGCCGGATGGGTTGAAGGGCTACTTGATGGGTTGAAGGGCTGCTGAATGGGTTGAAGGCTGCCGGATGGGTTGAAGGGCTGCCGGATGGGTTGAAGAACTGCCGGATGGATTGAGACTGCCGGGTGGGTTGGAGGTTGTTGATGGTTGAAAGGCCGCCAGATGGATTGAAGGGCTGCCTGATGGTTGAAGAACTTCCGAACGGATTGAAGAACTGCCGATGGGTTAAAGGGCTGATGGATTGAAGAATTGCTGGATGGGTTGATGGGCTGCCGGATGGGTTGAAGAGCCGCTTGGTGGGTTGAAGGGCTGCCGGATGGGTTGAATGCTTCTGATGGGTTGAAGGGCTGCATGCTGAAGGGCTTGATGGGTTGAAGGGCTGCAGATGGGTTGAAGGGCTGCCGGATGGTTGCTGCCGGATGGGTTGAAGTGTTGCTTGTTGGGTTGAAGGGCTGCCGGATGGGTTGAAGTGTTGCTTGTTGGTGACGGGCGCCGGATGGGTTGAAGGGCTTCTTGATGGTGAAGGGCGCAGGATGGGTTGAAGGGCTGCAGGATGGGTGAAGGGCTGCAGGATGGGTTGAAGGCTGCAGGATGGGTTGAAGAGCTTCTGATGGGTTGAAGGCTGCAGGATGGTTGAACTTGTTGGGTGAAGGGCTGCAGGATGGGTTGAAGGGCTTCGGATGGGTTGAAGAGCTTGATGGGTTGAAGGCTGCGATGGTTGAAGGGCTTGATGGGTTAGAGTTGAGGGCTGCCGGATGGGTTGAAGGGCTGCTGGATGGGTTGAAGGCTTGATGGGTTGAAGAGCCGGTGGGTAGAAGGGCTGCCGGATGGGCTGAAGGCCGCCAGGATGGGTTGAAGGGCTGCAGGATGGTGGGCTGCCGGATGGGTTGAAGTGCTTCTGATGGGTTGAAGGGCTGCAGGATGAGTTGAAGGCTGCCGGATGGGTTGAAGGGCTGCAGGAGGTTGAAGGGCTGCCGGATGGTGAGGCTTCGATGGGTTGAAGGCTGCAGGGGGTTGACGGGCTGCCGGATGGGTTGAAGGCTGCTGGATGGGTTGAAGGGCTTTGATGGGTTGAAGGGCCGCAGGATGGGTTGAAGGGCTGCCGGCTGGGTTGAAGGGCTGCCGGATGGGTTGAAGGGCTGCAGGATGGGTTGAAGGGCTTCTTGATGGCTGAAGGGCGCGGCTGGATGGGTTGAAGGGCTTTGTTGCGTTGAAGGGCTGCAGTAGGGTAGAGAGGCTGCCGGATGGGTTGAAGGGCTTCGATGGGTTGAAGGGCTGCAGGATGGCTGAAGGGCTTGATGGGTTGAAGGGCTGCATGGGTTGACGGGCGCAGGATGGGTTGAAGGGCTTTGATGGGTTGAAGGGCTGCAGGATGGGTTGAAGGGCTGCAGTATGGGTTGAAGGGCTGATGGGTTGAAGGGCTGCAGATGGGTTGAAGGGCTGCAGGATGGTTGAAGGGCTTCTTGATGGGTTGAAGGGCTGCAGGATGGTGAGGGCTGCAGGATGGGTTGAAGGGCTGCCGGATGGGTTGAAGGCTGCCGGTTGGGTTGAAGAGTTGCCGTATGGGTTGAGGGCTGCAGATGGGTTGAAGGGCTGCAGGATGGGCTAGCGGCTGCTGACGGGTTGAAGCGCTGTCGGATGATGCAAGAGCTGCCGTTTGGGTTAAGGTTGCAATGATGGGTTGAAGGGCTGCCGGATGGGTTGAAGGGCTGCCGGATGGGTTGAAGGGCTGCCGGATGGGCTGAAGATGGGATGAAGGGCTGCCGGATGGGTTGAAGGGTAGAGGTGACGGTTGAGAGGTACCTGCGTGAGTGAAAAACGTACGTGTGTGTGTGTGTGTGTTCGTTCTTTGTGTACATGTGCATGGGTGTGTACATGCGGGGGTGTGCGTGTGTATCGGGTACTATGTTTTACACCAAAGCCTTATAGTTAAGGTCGGCTGTCGAGTCCGAGGCCAGACTTTGGTCGCCAGCGGGTAATCCATCTTTTAAACCATCACTTACCTGTTCTGAGTAACCAGGGGGAACTAAGTAACAATCCAT